TATACTCCTGAGAGAATAGAAAAAATTTCATTCACAGTCTTGGAAGGTTTACGGATTTTCTCGCTTTCGAAACATACAATATAACTGATCTACTGTTATAAAAACGTAACAGAATTCCAAAGTCGCAGAAGTTTTGCTAACAAGTTCTTGATCAGCAAAACATTTGACATTACAACCCTTCAGAACCTACGTAAAAATAGACATTTTGTTCACACTGACCAATATGATTACTACTGTGATTTTGTGACCAGATTGTAATCTATACTCGGTCTCACTGATTTTCAGTCTTGTTCGGAATTCTCGAAACTTATTGGTCTCTCAGTCGTAGCTTCGTCTCCGTTCATTCATTGATTAATCATTACGTAAAGTAAAGACGAAAATTTAGGGATTGTAACGCACATTGTAGATTTTCTCGATCATAATTTTAACACATATAGCACGACCGAATTTTCATGTTGATTCCTTTCCTATAACATTCAATTATTAACCGTCTGGAACGAAGTTCTGACCAAAGGAGACATAAAAACTCGCTATCACAGGTCGAGATCAATTGAAACTAGATTCGTCTGATGTGAAAATCTTTGATCTCTCAAAAATTTATGAAAACAAAAACTGAATCAAGCTAATTAAAATTTAATGAACTGATTATATATATGATAATTAATAGATAGATAGATCTGTTGAAAGGATGTTCTATATCGTCAAGCTACATATAATTTTCTTGACTAATAGTAGATAAGTTACCGAAGATGGGCTCCTCCATTGTGTATACCAATTCAACTGCTCCTGTGGAGCTGGTTACATAGTCTGTACTCAGAGGGCTTTATCCATGTGTATTGGTGAATATGTACCAGCATGATTGGGAAATGAACCATCCAGATCGATTGACAGCACCATCACTTTTCACTTGACCGACAGTAAACATCATATCAAAACAGAGAAAGCTTTCGCTGTTTTATATCTAGTTCCGAAAAATCTTCCTCAATGAGGGCTAGATTACGGTTACTATACATGGTTTAAGCCATCTGGATCAACTCCTAAAAACCAGACTTATGTATCCATACATTGATATTGATAGTTTTATTGTAAGTGTCGGTATTTCCTCGACGATGGCCGGTGACCGAATTGTTATTTACGACAATGGTGAAATAACCATTTCGTGGCTTTGGTTCTAAATGTTTGACCAATCACGTTCAAATTATGTTGTTTACTGTGAAATTTAAAATTCTTGACAAATACTCATACGGTCAACGATCAGTCTCTGACAACACATGTAATTGTCCAAACAGTGTCTCCGTGTAGAGTGAATTTACTGGTATCGTGCAAATCAACTCCATTATAAACATTATTCATAGACGTGGAAGTGCAGGTATCTGGTTATTTCCGAATAGAGAAGGAAGCATATTTTACATTGAAATGCTAATGACTGTCTAAAATACACAGAACGCTTTGTTTCATTTGATATCTGCTTTTAAGTGACTTTACTAAGTTCTTTCCTACATAATAAGATATATCTGCCATCACAGTTAAATCTCTTGTCAAACAGTTATAACTATCTGGGAATGGGTAGTCAACACTTTAGCACGTAAAACATGTAAATGGTACATTGAATGAAAGCAACAGTGTGACAGATATACAAGTCACAATTGATCAACCAACTGCCTTCCTAAGAGTCTATTGAATTTGGCGAATAAGTTAACTCATTTTCATTTAGATAAACTTCTGCCTGTTTATTTATCAGCAATACCAGAGGATTCACTCAAACACTATTGAATTAAAGAAATGAAGAGTTCAAAGAACACCGAAATGAACATTCCATATTTGACGAAGAATTTGTGACTGTGAAATGAAGCTAATCTTGAATGAGATGGTAACTACTAACTATTTGATTCATTCTTTATTTAATAATCCTGATCAACTAAAGTTATCTGATATGTGGACAACAGTTTAACAAATAATACAAGAAAACTAACAATTTAGAAGAACTTGAAATTTACCGAGTCACATAACACTTTCTTCCACAAAGGCATTATGGATTTCTGATTATCAGACTGTAGTATCCAACAATAATAATGGTAAGACAAAACACTTTTACTCGGTGCTGATTTGTCACGATTCGCTCCAGGAACACGTCGAAATCCAGTCCCTAACCATCCTGAGGTGCTTAGAGGAGTAAATATACCATATGTAACTGTTGTATCCCCTGGCGAATTATGAATCATAAATCTGATGTCCATTTATGGACAAATACAATATGCCCATTCCCTATAGGAATGTTGTTAAATAAGTGACCTAATCGTTTCCGTGTTCCTCTCATCATAACCTTTATTTTGACCTTGGAACTATTATTATTGATTACTTTCCCCCTAGCTACAGCCACATTGGCCAATTACTGTACAAATGTTATTTTTCTATTTTTTGGTATAATTGGGTCTGTTTGGTTAGTATATATAACCCAGTGTGCTTGTGAATAATGATTCATATTTCCGAGGCTGTTATTTGTGTTCTGGACTCAACTGGCTGGGCTAGGCAGTTAGGAAGGACCGAATAGCAATCAAGACTGCTCGTACGTATTTTTCTGTATCATTGCACGTTTCATATATATTAACGAACCCATACGTTATAACAGTAACTGGTTCATAGAATATTAGTGATGACTTGTCATATTGACGTATTCTCTCAACAAGATAATCGTAAACTGGTAGTAGATTATATCGACCAGCATAACCTGAAATCAGAAAATCCATCATATGAACATGACACAATGACTTTTGTCAAAATCAAACAGTATAATACACAATCAATGATCCAAATTCGTTTGTCTCATGAATGTACTGTATCTTATAATGTTAGTGGTGTCCCATTGATTATCAATAGCAACCTAAATAATTTTCCATTTCAAATGATATTCAGTTGATCGAAAGACGAACATCACGATGTGGTGATGATACCCTATTAAGGAGAGTACATTTGAGACTTCCATTATTAACAAATGTGATGGAAAACAAAAGTTATTAGTGTGAAGGGAATCAGTGCAGTCACACGAATTCTCGAGTATCATAAAAAATAATCTACAACGTGGATGTTCGAACAGTCCAAACGATAAAGTACATCAAAATGTAAGTTGTCTTCAAGGTGACATCGTTAGCTTTAATTGCACTTCAACTTTCATGAACTAAACAAGTTTAATATTCTAACATATATAGCATATTCCTTGATACAAACATCACTTCGAAGGAATAGAAAAAAGCTACTTGGAAATCCATATTAATAATTGATGTTGGAAAGGATGAGACTGAATGTTCATTGTTCACTCAGTTGATATGACGATGTCCAGGTATTAAATGTCTGAAAGAAGTAAAATAATTTATGGGTAATAATTAGTTTGTTGTCATTATGGTGACTAACAGTTATAGAGATGACCATTATCGGAAGACAGATTTATGAGATGACCATAAAATTGGGGGTTACTGAATTTAGCATAGAACAATTGGTAGTTTGATGAACTCCATTATGTTTATTGATACAGTTTGAAATTCTGAAACTTACAAATTGAATGAATACATATCCAATCATACAAAAACAGACTTTCACAAATTTTGGTAACTCCGCCTGTAGCTCCTCCGGAGGCTACTGCCGGTCCCAAGCCCTGGTAAAGAAGAGGGGTCGGACATGGGGTTAGCAACCCCATCCCCTTAAAAACCAACCAGCTTAAAAAACTCTAACCAGAATAAATTTTGGTATTCGGATTGAAGTTTTAAAATCACTTCTCATAAATAAACGATATTTCTATTTTAAGCAGAGATGGATAGTGGCTGTCAGGGGAATCCAGGACTCGTCAGCTGGATGTACCTGCATATCAGGGTTGATGTTCACTCTGTGACTCGAATCCAGTACCGTCCCGTTATCCACTCAGTTACTGAGTCCTGATAGCCACTTGCTTGTGCAATGTGGGCGGCCTGCTTAAACATCTGGGCTACCTGTTTCCCGTCATCTATATATTTCAACAAGTTATCTAATATTGTTTGTTTTAATAAATCATTATGGCTACTAAGCACACAACCTATTCCGGTGCGTTTCTGAAAACTGTACAACCTTTCGCTGTAAAAGTTAGAAAAGGTCTAATCAGAGATGTCGTGTTTTCTGGGAACATGCAGCAAAAAGAACATACATTATTCATATGTCGATTGACTGAACTGCTGACATCCAACTAGCGATCAATGAATGTTTAACATCAGGAGCAGCGAAGAAATAAAAAACGTAAACATGTTGAAATACTTTATGCTGAGAATTCGAATTTGTACCAAATAATATAATATTGAATCAAGCTAATAATAATAATAATAATAATAATAATGTGGTGAAGTTTGAATTCACTTAGTACTGTTTGTTTGAATCTTCCCATTGATGTTTAGGACTGCAACTGAGCGGTCTCTAATTGGCATATGTGCACACTGTGCGTATTGCCCCGATATTGTCTTAATCCACTAGTATGATAAGCAAAGATGGATAATGGCGAGCAGTGGAATCAAGGATGCGCGTTTTGTCCTTTTTCGGAATCGTCAGCCCGATGTATCTGCATCTCACAGTTTATATTTACTCTGGGACTCGAAACAAGTACCTTTCGCTTCAAACGCAATTGCATTATCCTTTCGGCCACTGTTTTCGAAGTTATCACAAATGAACTCAATGGCTAGAATGTATTGAACTATAGATGTTTAAGGTCATATCATTGATCGTTTAAAAGATTATAAGAGGAGGTTGTAAGTATCTTACTCTCTCACTCTCAATTTCACTTTATATATAAACAATCTACCTTTAAATGTCACATTCACTAGTTCATATCATTAACTATCTATTGATATACCATAGTAACAATAATGAATAATTTTGAATGACCTAATATATGGAAACGAACGTATATAACCTAAACTATTCTGACACTACTAGGATACATAGTATGTTTCTAATAGTTGATATTGATTGTTGAATGAAAATATTACAGATTGAGGTTATAGCATATTCATATTAGTCGTCAAGTCATTTCCAATTATTGAAATATCTAACATCACTCGAATCAAATTATTGATCATGATTATTATACAAGGTTATTAATATAGCGTGATCACCCCCCTAGTCATTTAGTCTATAATCACAAATGGTATGATTTGAATGTGTGTAGGTTATCATATATATGGATATATATATATATATGTAGATATGTATTACCTAACAACAAAAATGAATTATTCAATGAGGTCCACAATCATTTTTATATTTATATGGTCATCAGTTTATACAGAACCTATTCCTCTTAGTAAAATTCATCTAAATCATGATGGAATGTTCATGGATCATCTTGGATATATTAAACTGTTTAGAGGATTTAATAATGTTCAAAAATATTTTCCATGGTATCAAGAAAATGCATGGAATATTACACAGATAAAAATGTTTCAAAATTGGGGTTTAAATGTTATACGATTAGGTATTATGTGGAGTGGAGTAAAACCGAATATATCCATAGTGAACACGACATACTTAAATGTAATGGAAAGCCTGATTGATTTATATGCTGAACATGGAATATATGTGATCTTGGATATGCATCAAGATGGTTTATCAAGTCGATATGGTACTTATGATGGTATACCATTATGGTTAATTAATCAATTTAAAAGACCACCAACCATTTTGCAAGAACCTTGGCCATATAAAAAGTTACCAAATTGGGAAGGAGCATATTATTTAACCTATGAATGCTCTGAAGGTGCACAACAATTATATGAGAATGTATCAGGTGCTTGGAATCATTGGGGTGATTTTTGGGAAATAGTAGCAAAACATTATGGAAAAAAGTCGAATGTACTTGGTTATGATTTGATTAATGAACCTCCACCTGGAAATTTTTATACTAATCCATTAAGAGGGTTTCCAGGTAAAGTTGAATTTCTTAAATTTTACTACTATTTTCAGATGTCAAGTGAATAGATTTGTGTTTATGAGTATTTATAAACGTCATGTGTATTTAGTATTTGGGATTTAAAGTTCACCCCATTGCACAAGCAAGTGGCTATGAGGACTCAGTGGTCGAATGGATGACACGATGGCGTTTGAAGCGAAAGGTACTGTGTTTGAATGACAAAGAGTGAACATCAACACTGAGATTCAGATACATCCAGTTGACGAGTCCGAAGTAGGACGAAGTGACGCGCGTCCTTGATTTCACTGCTAGCTACCATCCATCTTTGCTTACCATGCTTGTGAATTTAGGCTATATCGAGGAAGTACGCACAGTATGTACATATGTCAATAAGAGACTGACCAGTTGCAGTCCTAAACATCAGTGGGAAGATTCGAAGTAACAATACTAAGTTGAATTAATTAAGTACCTAGTTGGAATGTAAGTCGACTAAAATCTAATATGAATTTCATAGTAATATACGATTAAGCACGGCGAAATGAATTGCCTTAGGACCATTACTTCTGTTATCGATTGTTTATAAATATAAAGTGAGAGTGAGTGAGAGAGTAAGATACTTAAAATTTCCTCTTACATTCTTTCAAACGATCAATGATATGACCTTAAAATCTTTAGTTCAATACGTTCTACCCATGGAATTCATTTGTGATAACATCGAATATAAACTCAATGTTCAGTTTTTCAGTCACTGAAAAATAAAAACTAATGACAACAACTAGTGACTGGCTGCATGAGGTATTTCCTAGAGTTCTAGTGGGAAGCAGTGACCAGTGGAGTTCTACTAGGTCTGTTGGCAGATATCAACTCACTAAAGACAATGGTGAATGATTGCTCGATTTCTTGGATTGATTGAATTTGGACATTAACAACATTGGATGCCGGGACAGTAGTCTGTCGGTTAAGTGCTCTGGTGCGAGACTGGTAGGTCCTCTGTTCGAATCTCGCGAGGCGGTGTCGTGAATGCGCACCGCTGAGGGGTCCCACAGTAAAACAAAACGACCGTCCGGTGCTTTCAGGTTTTCCATATTCGTCTACCTTCAATTGACTCATGATCTCAACTCTATAAAATACGACGATGATAAAAAATGAAAATATCAGGACTCAGTGGCCTGGAGGATAACGCGATAACGTTTGAAGCGAAAGGTACTGGGTTTGAGTCCCAGAGTGAACATCAACCCTAAGATGCAGGTACATCCAGCTGACGAGTTGCAAATAGGATGAAACGTGCGTCCTGGATTACACTGCATATCCAACGTTCCTACTTTACCCGCGCTTGAGACCGGCAGTAGCCCCCGGAGGAGTTACCAAAATTTATGAAAGTCTGTTTTTGTATGTATTCATTCAATTAATAAGTTTCAGAATTTCAGAATTTCGAACTAGATCAATTCACTTAATGGAGTTCATCATACTACAAATATATCTGTACTCAATTCAGTAACTCTCAATTTCATGATCGTATCAAAAATCTGTCATTGTATAGCGGTCATCTCTATAACTGTTAGTCACCATAATGACAACAAACTAATTATTGCTAATAAATTATTTACTACCTTCAGATATTTGAAAGCTGGACATTGTCGTATCAACTGAGTGAACAATAAATATTCAGTCTTTAAATTTCCAACATCAATTATTGCTATGGATCGCCAAATAGCTCTTTTTTCATTTGAAATGATGTTTGCTTCATGGAAAGATTTTGGTTTAAAACCAATGTTAGAATGTTAAACTTGTTTATTTCGTGAAAGTTAAAGTGCAATTTAAGCTTATGATGTCACCTTGATGAAAGCTTCTATTTTGAACTATTTTATCGATTTGACCGTTTGAACATCCACGTCATAAATTATTATGTATGATACTCGAGAATTCGTGTGACTGCACCGATTCCCTACATTTGTAAATAATCGAGGTCTCAAATATGCTCTTCTTAATAGGTAATAATCACCACATCGTGACATTTGTCTTTCGATCAACTGAATATCATTTGAAATAGAATCTTATTTAGGTTGCTATTGATAATCAATGGGACACCACTAACATTATAAGATACAGTACATTCATGAGACAAACGAATTTGGATCATTGATTGTGTATTATACTATTTGATTTTGACAAAAGTCATTGTGTCATGTTCATATGATGGATTTTCTGATTTCAGGTTATGCAGGTCGATATAATCTACTACCAGTTTACGATTATCTTGTTGAGAGAATACGTCAATATGACAAGTCATCACTAATATTCTATGAACCAGTTACATATGGTATATTTACTCCTCTAAGCACCTCAGGATGGTTAGGGACTGGATTTCGACATGTTCCTGGAGCGAATCGTGACAAATCAGCACCGAGTAAAAGTGTTTTGTCTTACCATTATTATTGTTGGATACTACAGTCTGATTATCCGAACTCCATAATGCCTTTGTGGAAGAAAGTGTTATGTGATTCGGTAAATTTCAAGTTTTTCTAAATTGTTAGTTTTCTTGTATTATTTGTTAAACTGTTGTCCACATATCAGATAACTTTAGTTGATCAGGATTATAAAATAAAGAATGAATCAAATAGTTAGTAGTTACCATCTCATTCAAGATTAGCTTCATTTCACAGTCACAAATTCTTCGTCAAATATGGAATGTTCATTTCGGTGTTCTTTGAACTCTTCATTTCTTTAATTCAATAGTGTTTGAGTGAATCCTCTGGTATTGCTGATAAATAAACAGGCAGAAGTTTATCTAAATGAAAATGAGTTAACTTATTCGCCAAATTCAATAGACTCTTAGGAAGGCAGTTGGTTGATCAATTGTGACTTGTATATCTGTCACACTGTTGCTTTCATTCAATGTACCATTTACATGTTTTATGTGTTCAAGTGTTGACTACCTATTCCGAGATAGTTATAAATGTTTGACAAGAGATTTAACTGTGATGGGAGATATAATAATAATAATATATTCTGAAAATAATATTTACAGAATTCACACCAGTTTGCAGGCATGATCAGATTTTTATAAAAATCCACACTTAATGTAAAGAGCAAACATGAAATATAAGAAAGTTTTATGTTTGTTTGTTTAGTAATTGATAAATAGTTTAAATATGGCATATGTCACGGCAGGCCAATGCAACACCAGGGAACTTGTCATGTTTTCTTAAGTGGAAAGCCTGATGTTCTGTAAGGTTATTTCTAGTGCCAAAGCGAGTTATTGATAATTATCTACAACTAGAGAAATTAAGATTAAAGCAAAGAGCACGGAACAACAAAACAATGATAGCAAGTAAGAGGTTAAACAATTAAAGTTCCGATAATCTCACTTGTAGGGTAAGATACACTTGCAGGCGCTAGAGCATTTAATGCATTTCAGAGGAGTAATCTGGTGAAACGTTAGCAATTCATCATTTCACAGTCACAAATTCCTTTACAATAATGGGATGTTTATTTCGGTGTTCTTTTAAATTCTCATTTCTGTATTGAGATCAATTTGTTATTCAAAACTGTTTGTGTGAATCATCTGGGATCGCTGAGTAATGGACTGACGGAGTACTTTCTGAATGAGACTGAGATAACTTATTTGCCAAATTCATTGGACGTTTAGGATGAGAGTTGGTTGATGAATTTTCACTTGTAAATCTGTCACATTGTTGCTTTCATTCATTATGCCATTTACATTATTTACATGTTCAAGTGTTGACTACCCATTCCCAGATAGTTATAACTGTCTGACAAGTGATTTAATCGTGTTGGCATATGTGTCACATTATGTACGAAAGAACTGAGAGAAGTCACCTAAAATCAGATTGTGTTATCAAAAGTAACAAAGCGTTCTGTGTATTTTGGACAGTTATTAGCATTTCAATGTAAAATATGGTTTCTTCTCTGTTTGGAAATAACGAGATACGTGCACCTTCACGTCTATGAATAATGTATATATTGTAGTTGATTTGCACGATACCAGTAAATTCAGTCTACACTGCGACACTGTTTGGACAAGTACATGTGTTGTCAGAGACTGATCGTTGACCGTATGAGTATTTGTCAAGAATTTTAAATTTCACAGTAAACAACATAATTTGAACGTGACTGGTCAAACGTTTAGAACCAAAGCCACGAAATGGTTATTTCACCATTGTCGTTAATAGCAAGTCGGTCACGATTGCCGTCGTCGAGAAAATACCGACTCTTATGATGAAACTATCAATATCAAGGTGTGGGTTTGAATTGCGAAGCGAACATTTGTTCACGAATATCGGTCTCTTGGAAAACAGAAATTCATGTCCACCATTAGTCAAAGAATCATTCAATGACAGAGTCCAATATGACATGCCTATCACCCTTTTGTGGTTGTGTGAAATACTATTTGTATTTTAGTTGTAGATAATTTTTTCGTCGCTACCGATATTCTCTCACTTTGGCTCATTCATCCAATTGAAACACCATCTTATTCACTGATCCTATACTATCAATAAAGAATCATGCCTGTAAATCACTCACTATTTCTATCACCATTTAGTTAAATAACAAAGAAGTCACCTAATCATTTCGAATGAAACCATGTTCATTATGCATGGTTGAAAACATTGACAATGTGCTATTTACCTTTCAAATTTCATTTAGTTCCTCTTACCGACTGTGATTTCCAATGTAATTAAAGCAACAAAAACAACTGGAGGTGGTAGATTTTTAACTGAATTCGGTTTGTGTGGAGACGATGGAAATCCATCTAGTGTCAACACACTAGAATGTAATGCGGTATTGGATGAAGCTGATAAACATTTTGAATCATGGACATATTGGGATGGATACTTTATAGATGAAACAGGAAATCCTATTCAAAGTCAGGTAATGAAATTTGGAACTTAAGTTTTCAACAATAATATGTTACATCTACAGGGTTTTTGTGTGGATATTTCAATATTTTCATAGTTGAACTCACGAGTCAGTTGAAGATAGACCATCATGGA